CAGGCGGGGCAGGGACGAGGAGGAGAGGAGGAGGAGGCACAGGAAAGCTGCGGTGCAGGAAGCGACGGTAGTAGGGGAGCGTCTCGTCGAAGGTAACGTCACGAGAGTGGTAAAAGCGGTGGTGTGACGGATGGTAGAACGGCCAGTCAAGGGCGTCAAGCGGAAAACCCAGGAAGACACAAGGAAGGGTGCGGGCTGAGAGCTTGTCCGCGGCAGCGTCACGGACGTGAGCAAGGCTGCCCCAGATGTGGAACGCAGACGCGTCACCAGGACACCCGATCCAGAGGTTGTCGGCAAAACCTGTGGCCGCTGGGAGCGCGGCCACAGGTTAAGCTGGTGAGCAGCGTAGCGCATTGCGAACGGCCATAGAAAATGGGGTGCACTGGCGTGGACCATGGAGGTGCGAACCACCTCCATGAACTTGCCGATGCGTTGCTCAGCGACCCCATTCTGCTGTGGGGAGTCTGGCAGTGTGTACATCTGGCGGATGCCCTGCGCACGGCAGAAACGTCCTAGAGTGCCAGAGGCGAACTCGCCACCGCGGTCCGAATATAAGCGATCTACAGGCAGGCGGTGGTGGGTGCGAACGACAAGAAGCCACGGGAGGAGAACGGTAAGAACATCGGCCTTCCGCTCCAGCGGGAACACTGTGGTAAACCGCGAGAAGTTGTCAACGATGACTAGGAAGTAGCGCTCCCGGATAAGACCATGGACCGGGTCAGGGCCCCAGGCGTGCATGTGCAGTGTCGTAGCGGCGCTATGGTAGGAGGAAAGGAGGAGGAGTGAGGGGCGGCGCGCTGCCGGCCCTCGACGCAGGAGGTGCACAGTGGTGCTACCGACGGAGGCAGGGCGGGTAGCGACGCAGGGAGACCACTGACTAGACCGTGCTGGGACATGTGCCTAAGATGCGGGAGCGCAGGGTGACTTAAGCGGTGGTGCCACAGAAGGGTTGGGTGGGCTAGTGAGCGACAGGAGCAAAACGAGGCGACCTCGGCAGACGCAGCAGCTGGCGGAGACTCAGTGCGCAGTGTAAAGAGACCTGACCTATGGTCTCGCTCAAAAGTGGCCGAGTGTCGACCGGTGGCTGTGTCTGAGCAAGTGGCGTGCCTCTCGCGGCCAGGGAACGTAGTGGTGATGCCTCGGTCCTGAAGGCAACCGACACCCACTAGGTTCCTGGCAAACGAGGGGATGTGCAGACCGGTGAGGGGGTCAGAGGGGACAGCTGGACAGGGAAGAGTGGTGGTGCTATGTGCAATGGCTATGGCAGAGGAGTCACCTAGTGCGACGAGGACAGGCGCAGGAAGCAGGGTGAGAGCAGTACTGTCTCGAAAAAAAACACTGAGACACGCCAGAGTCGAGGACAAAGGAGAGGGCCGATGTGGGGGAGCCCAGTGAAGAGTCTCTAACAGGTCCTACGCCTAACGCAGCAGGGGAGTCTACACTTGACGCAGCAGGGGATCCTAGACTACACACAGCGGTAGCTCCAAGGCTACAAACAGCAAGATAATAAGAACTAACAACACTACAAGCATCAGAATACAGAGAATACAAGGCATGATCGAGCTGAAGCATATCCATATCAAATATAGGAACCCCACGACGAAGCAAGATATGCCAGGGGGGTACCTGCACCAGTGGGCCAAACTGACGATGGTAGAGATCGTCCAAACGGCGGAAGCAGTGTGCCCCATGCGCTGGCACACCTGGCCCGTATGTGGGCCAGACAGCATCTGGTACGTGCAGGTCACCGGGCCACCAGAACCACCAGCACCCAGACTCACAGAGGAGCCACGCGAACCCCAAAGCCCTGAGTGCCCTGGGCCACAACCCCCATGGCCTCCACCACGACCACCTCCGCCAGGGCCCGTCGGCCCCCACGACTAATGCGGCTCCTGCTGGTGCTGTTATTGTTGCTGCTGCAGCTGCTGCGCAGTCCCCGACTCTGACTAACTACCCTCTCCATCCGTACCCGCACCCCCTCCACCCGCTGCTGCCGACCCCCCACGACCCTTGCCCCCCTTGCCCTTGCCCTTGCCACTAGAGGAGCGGCCGGGGGCAGAGGTAGCTGCTGCGATCTCAGCAACACAGGCGGAGGCAGGGACTGTCACTGGAGAGGGAGTACTGCCCTGAAAGATAGGGACTGCCGGCGCACCAGTGGAACCAGCGAAGGCGCGGAGGCGGTCCTCTACTTCAGTCGGGGAGGTGGAGAAGAGGTCAAGGGTGAGCTCAGAGGGATGGCGAGCGAGGAGCGTGTCGCGGGCAGGGGCTAGGCGGTCAGGGAGGCGGGTGACAAGGAAGTAGATCGTGGCAAAGAGGGGGGGCGGGGCGAGCGCTAGCTGAGCCTCTGTACAAGCCGCACGCCAGCGAGCCTCAAGGGAGCGCAGGTGCTTGACTAAGTCTGCTACAGTGGTGAAGGACGTCAGGTCAGGGTGGAAGAAGGGGAGGAGGAGACGACCAAGAGTGGCAGACGACGGGGTGGAGTACCTAGCAAAGATAGCCAGCCAGAGTTCATGGGCTGACGCAGCACCCACAAAGTGGGAGTGCTTGTCAACCAGCAGGCACCTTAGGATGGCTACGCGAGCAGTAGCGTCGCGGGATGCCCAGACAGAGTAGGCAGTACGAGCAGCAGTGTGCACAGCCTGCTACGCAGACGTCGCGTCAATAGCAAGAGCACCCGGACGGGGGACAGCAGGTAGCTCACCAGAGACGTGGGCGTCCAGGGACTCGTCATCGACGCGCTGACTCGTTAGCTGAAGGAGAACTGCCTCCTGCCAGGCGGCGAAACCGACTACCTACCCCTCCCCATCCAAGCACAGGACGAAGACGCCGGGCGACGCCATGCTGGCAGCTGCGGCCGGGAAGACAGAGGCGGCACAAGCAGGGACAGCAAGGGCAGCTGCGACAGGGGCAGCCGGGACAGGGGCTGCAGCTGGAGCCGGTGGTAGTGGCGGCTGCTAACTAGCAGCGGGATGGTAACGACGGTGGGCCAACAGTGAGCTGGCTAACAGAGTCGGCTGCGTAGCTACGGGCGAGCCACGGTAGTGGTGGCAGCAGTGGCTGCAGTGGCAATGGCTGCTGGCAACAAGAGCAGTGTCAGTGGTGGCTGCAGTGGCAGTGGCAACTGCAGGAGGCAGCGCAGCAGCTGCAAGGGCAGCGGCGGCAGAGACGGCTATGAGTGCAGCGGTGGCAGCAGCGCCTGCAAGGGCAACGGCGGCAGTGGCAGCTGCAAGGGCAGCGGCAGCAGTGGCGGCTGCAACGGGCAGCGGCGGCAGCGGCGGGCGCAAGGGCAGTGGCGGCAGTGGCGGCAGTGGCGCTGCAAGGGCAGCAGCTGCAGCGGCAGCTGCAAGGGCAGCGGCGGCAGCGGTGGCTGCAAGGGCAGCAGCTGCAGCGGCAGTGGAGGTAGCGGCAGCGGCAGTGGCAGCAGTGGCAGCGGTGGCTGCGGTGGCTGCGGCAGTGGTAGGGACTGAAGCAGTTGCGGCAGGGGCAGCGGCGGCAGCGGCAGTGGCGGCTGCGGCAGTGGCTGCAGCGGCTGCGGCAGTGGCAGCGGTGGCAGCGCAAGCGGCAGCAGCGGCAGTGGCAGCAGCAGCAGAGACAATGGCAGCGGCGGCGGCGTAAGTGGCTGCAGCGGCGGTAACTGCAGGAGCTGCGGCAGTGGCAGTAGCTGCAGAGCAAGAGGCAGCAGTGGCAGCTGTAGCAGGGGCAGTGGCAGTAGCTGCAGTGGCAGCGGTAGTGGATGCCGCGGAGAGGCACTACTGGCAGTAGTGGCGACGACAGCAGCAGCAGTGGCAGCGGCTGCAGTGGCAGTGGCGGCTGCAGTGGCAGCGGCGGCTGCAGTGGCAGCGGCTGACTGTGGCTGCAGCAGCAGTGGCATTCGCAGTGGCGAGCTGGCCAGCGACTAGCTGGTAGGCGCTGCGGACGACCAGCTGCTGGCGGCGAGCTGGTGGAAGCCGTGGGCAGCTAGTTGGCTGGTGGTGCTGGCGACTAGCTGCTGGCGGCGAGCTAGCGGAAGCTGCTGGCAGCAAGCTATCTGGCGCTGCTGGCGCCTAGCTGGCTAACACCGCTGGCGGCGAGCTGGCTAAGGCGGCTGGCTAGTGAGCTGGCTAACGAGCTAGCTAGCGAGCTGGCTAACTGGCTAGCTAGCTAGCTAGCTGGCGCATTGGCTGGCGAGCTCACTAGCGCGCTGGTTGGCATGCCGGCCTGCCGATTGCCGCACGAAAGAAAAAATCGAATGCTAGAGGGGGGGGAGGGAGCTCGAGGCTACGAAATGCAAAATTGGAAGGCTACAGTGCGCAAAACTGGAAGGCTACAGTGCGCGGAAAATAAGAAGCTATAGTAACGGCGATAGCGGGAGTAACTGCGGAAGCGTGAGAAACGGCGGAAAAAAATATATAACCTAGCTCTATACCATGTTAGAGTAGCGGGAAAAGTTGTGTGGCTAAGGGAAAATGTCGAATAGCGGATTACGATCCCCAACCCCCCCACCCGTGATTTCCGCATTTCCCTCCCACCCTCCCTGTCAATGACACCAGCTTGACTGTGACCGACCAAGACTGTAATCAGGAACCTGTGAAAAAGATGGGGCATGTATTAAAACAGCGTGTTTTTTGTAGTTGACCCTTTTTATTCAACGCAATTTTTTTACAGCACCCTGATTGATGAACGTATTTTTTTTTTATGAGGGGGCTACGAGGGCTGAAAAAACAGGGAGCTACGAGGGGGGACCTTGAGAGATCAGCGTGCCCCAAAATGAATCTGAGGCCCTGACCAGAAGAAGAGCCACGTGGTGAACCAAGAATAGAAAAGTGAGGGGTGTTCCGAGAATTGAACTCGGGACCTCTCGCACCCTAAGCGAGAATCATGCCACTAGACCAAACACCCACGCTCACAGTGACACTGGTTTAAACTTGTATATTTCATAAATTAAAATTATGAACACTTCAGGACATAGCGTTCTTTCCACGTCGGTGGTAACAGAGCATTCAGAATGCGGTTCCTGGTATATATGTACTAGACATCCCCGCGGACCTCGTCCGGTCTCGTGTGGCGTGAAGCATCGCCGTCGACAGGCCGCCGGCTCGCAGTGGATGGTATCGGAGGCCTGAACACTTAGTAGCCGTGAGCTCGCCGCGAAAGAATATTTTGACCATCGCTTGAGGCGAAATGGGAAATAACAAAAAGAAGCAGATTCAACAAGAAGCGAATACTCGTAGATCATGCTCCTACTACAGCACTCCCGCAGGTTCAGACTTGAATGCTCGTTTTGTCCGTCGCTGCTGGGCCGTCGTTCGCAGTTGCTGCTGCTGCTGCTGCTGCCGCCGCCGCCGCTGCGCCTTGAGCGCGTAGTCGCCTCGATCGCACGGTGTTGACGAAACATCCGACGGCGAAAACGGCGATCACTGCGACGACCGCGGCGACGCTGGCGAAAACCGCAAACTTCACCCCGGGAGAGACGCCCCACGCGGTAGTAACGCCGCCTCCACTCATCGTCGACATTCTTCGCGCGCCAGTGGCTGGAAGGGCTTAGCGTCTGTCCAACGGCAGACGCCAGAACGATGGATCCGAGGAAGCTATGAACAGCCGAGTGCGACGGACTCGTCGGCCGAGTCAGTACGCTACCAGTGGCTGGAAGGGCGTTGTCCTGAATGGGCTCTTGAGAATCCTCAGAAACCTGTCCAACGGCAGACGCTACGATGGTTCCTGAGGAATAACGGAGCCAGAAGGGCTCGTCGGACGAGTCAGTACTGCTACCGTTAGAACGGACGTTCCGAAGTCAGCCTGCAGCCAGTGCTGCTAAGTAAAAAAAAATTCTAGTCGTTTGCGTCGAGTTGGTTCAAGCTTTCCTTCTCCTGGGTGAGAACTGGGCAAACGAGGACTGAATTCCAGGTCCCTAGCAGTTTGCGCCATGAACGAACAATAGCGGCCGAAGGATCAAAGGAAGGAGCGACGATCTACTGCTGGAAATGCCACGAGAAACAAGGCTCTTTAACACACACCGAACAGAATGAGTGCATGTGGCCGGGTGGGCGACACGGACTCGTTGTTGAAGCCACGGGTGAGCGCCGTTTGCGGCAGAGACATCTCCCATCGTTCACTGAGACTCGCTCTCTTGACTCTCGACTCTCGACTCTCGGCTCGAGGCTGTGAAACAAGGACCAGCGGGGAGCACGGATGGAGTGGGAGGGGAGCGCGCAGAACCGCAATTATTGCCCGAGCAAGCCTTCAAGGTGTCTCCTTTTGTACGTGAATCCGCTCACCCATAAGAGCACTGTAAAGTTCGGCCTAAACGAAACCTAGTTGTGGAAACAAGTATTCCTTACACTTGATAAAGTCCTTTTCCAGGTTAAAAAATAGGCGTCGAGACACAGCATTGATAACAAGCAAAGCGTTTTTGTTGACATAGGCACCACGCTCAACATTATTTGTAGGCATCACCTAATCAGATCTACCAGAGCCACCATTTTCACCAACCACAACCCCTTCACTTGCTTGACCCCCTTTACGCCTTTTCCTTTGCCGCTTTCGTGGCCCTGCTCCCTCCCCCCCTTCCTGCTTATCGTTACTCCCTGCTACGGGCGCCGGCCGAGACTTTTTCTTGCACGACAGAGGGTTAGGTCCCTGCAGGCAGGGTGAGAGGGGACACAACATACCAGCATGTAAAACATATTTAGAGTCCGAACATCAGACTCTTCGCTCATTTTTTCGCCTCACCACGAATTTTCCACATCAGAGGGTTGGGTTGGGTCCCTGCAGTGTGAGAGAGGACAGGACACGGAAAGCCGACAGCTCACTGCACACATGGAAGCCATGTGAACCAGGCGGCATCCCCTCATGGCTCAGCCTCACCTTGACTCTCTCTCACTCACCCCCCTTACATTACCCTTCACTCTCTTCCTCTCGGCCCTGCCCTTCACACAAGCCAGCCCCTTCCACTCCAGTTTCGTCTCCTCGCCGTCGTTCTCTGCCTCCCAGTCCTACCTGTTCCCAGACTCGGCCACAACACTCCCAACACACGCCCACCCACCCACCCACGGCGCACCTCCTTCTCACCTTCACTCTCTTCCTCTTGAACTTGGCTCGGTCCTTCACATACCCCAGCCGCTTCCACTCCGGCTTTGTCTCCTCCTCCGCAGAATCATACTCATACCCATAAGGGTTGCCATCCACCCCTCCCACCCCTCCACCCACACCTCCTGTCCCTCCCCCTTCCTCTTTCCCAAAAGCCCCTGCTCCACCATCCCCTTCTCTCTCACTCCCAACACCAGCCTCCCCCTCTCCTCCTCCCTCCCCTGTCGCTGCTTCCACACCCCCCACTGCACCCTTCTGCCCTGCAAAGCCGACATCCACCACGGTCGGAACTAGCCCCTTTTGCGTCTCCTCAATCTTTTTCTTTCGCTTGGCTGCCCGCGCCAGCAGCAGCTGCTGCTGCTCGTGCCCGGGCAGCCCAAGCCGGGCAGATTCAGCTTTCTTAGAGAGGGAGAGGTCGAGAGGCGATGGGGGCTCGAGGCAGATTGAAGTTCCGTTGGCTGAGATGATTGGCACTGCAGGAACCTGAGGGAGGGCGGGAGGGCACGAAGGGAGGGAAGGAAGGAAACGGATGGGGGGAGGAGCGGGAAAGGTTGAGGGGCGATAAGGGCTCAAGGCAGAGTGAAGTTCTGTTGGCTGAAATGATTGGCACAGCAGGAACCTGAGGGGGGCAAAGGGAGAGAGTGGGGGAAATAGTGCTTGTTGACTGAAGAGGCAGGCTCGGCTTCCTTAGAGAGGGGGAGGTCGAAGGGCGAAGGGGGGGGGGGGGGCTCGAGGCTAATGGACGTGCCATTGGCTGAGATGATGGGGACTGCTGGAGCATGGGAAAGGGGAGGAGAGGAGAAAGGGGATGTATCATGTATGGGGAGACGGGCGGAAAAGAGGGGGAAAGGGGGGGGAAGGAGTGGGTGGGGGAGGCTCGAGGCTGATGGAAGTGCAAATGGCTGAAATGATGGGGACTGCAGGAACCTGGGGGCAGCAAGGGGAAGAGGGGATTTGACTGGTGGGAAGAAAGTGAACGGATGAGGGGAGGCCGGCCAAAGCAGAAGGGGACTGGAGGAGCCTTGAGGGGTTGCGGGGGGGGAGAGGGGAGGTGATTTGAGATGTCACGAAACAAGGCCCAAGGCTTGTAGAAGCTCCATTGGCAGTGACGATATGGAACTGCAGGGACCTGGGGGGAACGGGGAGGGGGTGTGTGACTGGATGCAGCAGCACTCAGAGCAAGAAACACTCCATCCACCTCCACAACACTTCAACTAAAATATCAATGGTTCGCTTGAACCAGACCAGAACAAGACCAGAAAAGGGGGAACCCAACGGACCAAGGGAAACCGCTTTTGGCCCAAAAGAGCATGGAGAGGGCCCTAGAGGGGATTCCGGAAGGGGTTTGAAGAGTTTGGAGGGGCTTGGAGGGGATTGGAAGGATTGCAATAATTGGAGGGGGCTGGAGAGAATTCTGAAGATTGGAGGGAATTGTGGAACGGGTTTGACGGCTTTGAATGAAGGGGGTTGTGGAGGGGGCTCGGAACGAACCTTCTTGAGAAGCTTCTTAAACTCGATGTCCTGTGAAGCAACGAAGAAGTGCTGCTGGTTACCACCTGTAACCAGATGCTGGATGCACTCTGACGCTGTCACTGATTGGTTGGCTTCATGATTGCACCTGGTGAGATGGATGGAGGGTGGGGGGGTGGGGAGGGGTGGAAAGGGGTGGTTGATGGAAGGATAACGGAAAGGCAGGGAAGAAGTGCTGCTGGTTACCACCTGCCACCAGATGCTGGATGCACTCTGATGTGGCCACTGACTGGTTGGCATCGTGTGTGCACCTGGTGAGACGGGGGGGGTTGGGGGGGGTGTGGAGGGAGTGTGGGGGGGGAGATGGGGAGGGGGGATAAAGGGAGGCAGGGAACAAATGCTGCTGGTTACCACCTGTAACCAGGTGCTGGATGCTCTTGGAGGAGGTGGTCACTGAGTGGGCGGCATTGAGGTTGCACCTGGTGATGGGAAGCTGGACAAGATGGGCGAGAGAGAGGACGAAGTGCTGCTGGTTACCACCGTAACAAGATGCTGAATGCAAGCTGACTGACGGGTTACCACCACGATGATGCAGTCACTGACTGGTTACCACCACGATGATGCAGTCACTGACTGGTTACCACCACGATGATGCAGTCACTGACTGGTTGTCATTGTGGGTGGGCCGGGGGGGCGGCCACAGAGGGGTGAAGTGAAGGTGAGAACAAAGATTGAATCGCTGGTTACCACATGTTACCATCTGTTACCACACTATACCAGTTGCTAAATGCTGGTAACCACGTGCTGGATGAACCCAGTGCTCTCAGGGCTAGACTGCAGTCATGGCTGCACCCACCCTGCCCCCCTCTTCCGCCCTCCCTCGCTCCTCCCACATGGTAATATCCACGCATCCGTCCCACGTGGCAGTATCTATCTAGGCATCCATCCCACGTGGCAGTATCGAGGCATCCATCCCACGTGGCAGTATCTAGGCATCCATCCCACGTGGCAGTGTCCATCCCACGTGGCATACTTTGCAATCTCCAGCTGTCGGGCTGCAAAGCGCGTGTCCTTAAAGCCGTCCCCCAGCCGCTGAAGTTCCGCCAAGATGCACCTGAGACATGGACGGGTTGGGATGAGAATCAGGGAGCGGTAGGAGAAGGGGAGAGGGGGAGAGCGGGAGAGCGGAAGAGGGGGAGAGGGGGAGAGGGGGAGAGGGGGAGAGGGCGAGAGGGCGAGAGGGGGAGAGGGGGAGAGCGGGAGAGCGGGAGAGCGGGAGAGCGGGAGAGGGAGAGAGCGGGAGAGCGGGAGAGCGGGAGAGAGGGAGAGGGGGAGAAGAGGGGGGTGGAGAGGGCAGTGCTGCTCTTCATTCACTCGTCTTTGGAGCCGTCCTCCGGCCGCTGCCGCTCGGTCAGGATGCACCTGAGGGCGGCGAGAGAGGGGGGCGGGAGGAACAGGGAGAGGTCAATAGATTCTCGTGAATGCTGAAAACGGTTCCTCAGCTGCTGCCGCTCGGCCAGGATGCACTGGAGGGATGGGGGCGGGGCGGGGTTTGGGGGTTTGGGGGGGGGGGAAGTGGGGGAGAGGGGGTGGTAGAGGCGAGGAAGGCTGGGGAGGCGAGGGCGGTAAGGAGGGATCACGCGGGAGGGAAAACTGGTGGGACTCGGGGATGCGGATGTGGTGGTACTGTGGCGGTGAAAGGCAAGAAGGGAGCAGCATGGTGGTGCCATGACTGGATGAGTCGAAGAAACGAGAGGCGTCAATGAAAGGCGTAGAGTTAGAGCTGGTCAGGATGGATATCAACGGGTTACCCATGTTCCCAGGGCTCGTCAGGACATCATAGGTAGTTGCAAGGGGTTTTGAGGGGTTGGAAAGGGTAGTGCGAGGGGTTTAACAGGATCCGCGCCGGCGAGTCAGGTGAGGTGGCGCGCGCACGAGATCAGTTGATGGGAGTTTGAGAACGAAGCCACATTCCGAGACAGAAGCGGTGACCAGAACGCCATAAGAAATGGGACGCGCTGAGGAGGCGCGCGCACATGCCGTTCTACCCTTTGAGACTGCCGACTCGCAACGAGACGCGATAGAGAATGGGGCGCGCAGGCGAGGCAACGTGTGCATGCAGTTCCGCTCAGCGTCAGAGTGGGTTAGAAGAGACAGAGTGTGACGTGGACTGCCGTATGACGTGGAAACACCCTGTGACAGACACGCACCGCGTGATGTGGACCCTTTTCGGAAAGCCGAGGAGTTTAGGGAGCGACGCGGCGAGCGAGGAAAGCTTTTAGCGCGTGACGTGGTGCAGAGAGGCGCCGTCGCACCCCGCCTTGAATGCTGCGGAAGCGCAAAAACCTGACTGCCACGCACCGTGTGATGTGGACGCGCGTGGGGAAGCCCAGCAACTTTGGGAGCGACGCGGCGGGCGGCGAGAGCTTCAAGCGCGTGACGTGGTGCAGGAAGGTGCCGTCGCACACCACCTTGAACGGCTCGCGGAACCCGCAGCACGTGCGGTAGAAGCGCACGTGGCGCCGCACCTCGCGCTGCCGCTTCACCCTCATCCTGACGAAGCCACGACGGCAGTGCACGCAGAATCGTCGGGTGGATCG